AGCAAAAATTAGAGGCAGAAAAATCAGCTAACTAACCTTTTCAGACTGAAGTTCCTGAAGATGTGACTTCAGTTCTCCCAATCTCTTAGCGGTCAAGTCTTGTTCACTTACTTGAATATCTGTAGGACTAATTACTGTGTCATTTCCTGCTATTTCTGCACAAATCGCTGCTATCTGTGTTTCTATATTCAAGAACTCTTTAATCCTTTCATGTTTCTTTGTCCTTATGTCTTTTAACACAGGATCAATAACAGCCAATTTCTGCTTCAGGGTACCTTTCATCTTTCCAGACTGAAAAATAAGAAAAGAGTTAATTATTAAAAAGAAAATACTGAATGATGGAGAAGTTTAAGGATTCCAAAGAAACATAGGACAAACCAATGGCAAAGAAACTTGTTCTCCAAGGGAAGATACAAGTTTGGAAATTTCTGCATCAGCCTCAGCTAATAACAGATGCAGCTCAGCTTTGTATTTTCTCTCTTTATCTACATTTCTACGGTAAATGTCGAGGCATTCCTGCTCAACTTGAAGAAGCTTTTTGTCCCTCTCACTGTCACTCTCCCCAATCTCATCCCATATTTCCTTCAGACAAAAAATGACAGGTTATTTGAATAGATTCTACCTCCAAACTCCAAAGTCTAAGTGAAAATGCAGCAGATCATACCACCACAAGAGGGAAAGTAGGAGAAAAATGCATCAGTCTCCAAATTAAGGAAACATAGACTTCAAAAGATAGTTCCCTTAGCAGACCAAGCAAAATTCTTGAATAAATGCTAAACTACTTTCAGGAATCCATTGAACCATTAGTATTTGGGTAGATCAGTGAGTAAGGTCATGGCACCACAATACAAATATTAATGAGTCCATTGCAACAGACTAAGTTTAAGAAAAAGGAAAACACCTCTTCGCCTTCTTTTATTCAGACAGAAACTTTCTAATCTTTTACAACTCAAAAACCTCAAGGGAAGTGTTTAAACTACATCATTTGCACTTTGCAATTATATATCAAATGCGTAAGCAGAAAAGCAAAATAAGTCTATTCCGATAATGGTCAAGAAAGAAGCTAATAACTAGAATTAAATGAAAAAGGAAATTTTACAAGCAGCAAATCATTTTTGCTAACAGTGTCAGGGGCAACTATATATGAATATTCTGGCAACAATCAAGCAGGAAACTTATCATGCAGCTGAACCACCTTTGGAAAACACATACAGAGGAGTTCAACCATAACTTCCAAAGTGAAAACAAGACAAGATAAGAAGCAGCTATACAAACATTGAACCAACTTAACATTCATGTCAAAAATCAACAGAAATGCTGAAAGAAAACAAGTACAATAGTAATACAAATAGTAACGCCAGATTATGCATGGAAATGCTCATGCTATAGAGGCATGTCTAATACCAAAGCATAATTAAAATAACTTTAAGCAATTTAAGCCACATCCTTAGGCCCATCAATAGCATTTGCAATCTCTACTAAGTTTTGAAGCTAAAAGCTATCATATCTCAAATTTCTCATTTCCAGAAGTTCAAGTTCATTTGTGCCCTGATGAATGAAAACAGTTTGCAAGACATCCCCAGTTCAGATGATGTACTTTCACTTCATCAAATGTTAGTAGCTATAAAAAAATTCAGACATACTCAGATACACTAATGAATCATACAGAAACAAGAATACAGAGATACATGAAAAACAAAGCTACTGACATGAAATACTTGATATGCCAAACTGGAGCCACCCATAAAGAATATAACAATTCAACCTAAATATGTCAAAGACATTAAGCAAACTGTTGAAACATCCAATTTGTTCCACCAACAACCAAGAGAATCCTACTTTCAGAACTCTCATTCATAATCAATTCTTCTCAATTCCATTCAAGTAAAAAAAGAAGATACTGATTATTGTCATATTCAATCATATGCCACTAAAGTCACACCCCCTTATGATCAATTCCAAAAAATTCTATCATGTTTCCCTGTAACCACCTCCACAACAATTAAAAACAAGAATCTGAACACCCAAAGTTCAAGATTATAGTATGCAACTCTTATCTACCACAACTTTTGGGTCTTATGTACGTACTTGTATGTATGTATGTGTGATGTACATGAGTACCAGAAAGAGAAAAGAAAAAAGGACAGAACAACAACAGCAACAACCCAATTTGACATTTAATTCATACTCTTACTATAAAGACACAGTTAAAAGGGAAGGAAAACCACAAAACCCCAAAATCTTTATTGAATAAACAAACTTAAGAAACTAATCCAACTTAATATATTTCTATTATATCTCTTCTTAAAACACAATCTTGATTCCCAAAAACCACTGGGTACCCAAAAAGAAAAACCAAGAATCGTTTTCAAAGATGCATTAGAACAAAAAAAAAAGATGAAATAGAAGAATAACTGCAATTCTTGAAGTAGAGAGCCACAAGTAGTAGTGGCCGACTTAGAAATAAGAGACTGATTATTGGCATATTCAATCATATACCACTAAACTCACACCCACTAATGATCAATTCCAAAATTTTCTATCATGTTTCCCAGTAACCACCTCCACAGCAATTAAAAACAAGAATCTGAACACACAAAGTTCAAGCTTATCGTATACAACTCTTATTGACCACAAATCTTGGGTCTAATGTAGGTGTTTCTATGTGTGTGTGATGTACGTGTGTACCAGAAAACATAACAACAACCCAATTTGACATTTAATTCATACTCTTACTATAAACACACGGTTAAAAAAAGGAAAAGCACAAAACCCCAAAATCTTGATTGAATAAACAAACTCAAGAAACTAATCCAATTGAATGTATTTCTATTGTATCTCCTTAAAACACAATCTTGATTCCCAAAAACCACTGGGTACCCAAAAAGAAAGACCAAGAATCATTTTCAAAGACGCATTCGAACAAACAAAAAGATGAAACAGAAGAATACCTGCAATTCTTGAAGTAGAGAGCTACAAGTGGTAGTGGCCGACTTAGAAAGAGAGAGCGGAGAGGAAACACTAACAGTAATCGACATTGTCGATTTTTCAAACGAAACCCTAGAAATCAGAGAGGAGAATATGGCGATGTATCTTTTAAATTTAAATTTGGCAGCAAAGATTTTGGCGTTATAAATGTATTGAGATTTTGGGAGATTTTGCCTTTTGCTTTTTTGGGCGGGAAAACTCTTCTAAATTCCCCTATTTGTCTCCTTTAACCTTTCTTTTATATTCCTTTTTATTGTCTTCTCATTTTTTTCATTTTCTTTTTTATATATCGTATTTTTTCAAAGGTCTTTCAGAAATAGTAGTGATAAGATCTATGTACACTCTATCCTCCTCATACTATATTTAGTGAATTTTATTGGGTATGTTGTTGTTGTATAATATTTTCCTTTATTTAGGAGTTTGGTATGTTATCAATTTTTTGATTGGTCAAATTTTTTACAATTTTTTTTTGAAAAATTGTATAAAATAACAAACTATTAATTCAAATTAAATGTTATAACTACAGTTTCATTTAATTGTAATCTGTAACAAACACTTGTCATTCGCCTCTCTTCCCAGAGAACCTCGTTCGCCACTCTCCCTGATATTGCTCATTTTATACAAACACAAATGTATAAATTGTATTGTATATACAAATACAAATACATATATTTTTGTCCTATACATTTATAATTATACGAATACAGATCTTCTCCTATAAGTTCTCTTTTGCCTTTCTCTCTTTCTCACTTTATACAAACACAAATTATTCAGATTACAATGTATAATTTGTGTTGTATAAAGCAAGAGAGAGATTTGATATACAAATGTTTTATTTCGATTCAATTGTATACAAATTCAAATTTTATGCAGATATATAAACACATAAAATTCAGATTACAATGTATAATTTGTGTTGTATAAAGCAAGAGAGAGATTTGATATACAAATGTTTTATTTCGATTCAATTGTATACAAATTCAAATTTTATGCAGATATACAAACACAATCATTGATACATATACATAATAGTTATATATATACAATTATCTAACCGATATACATATACAATCGATGCACTTTTATACAAACGAATGCCTGCCTGCGATTTATACAAATCTGATGCTCCATAACAAACATAAAATTTGTTATGAAACGCAATTATGCAAACTATAACTATAACATAAAAATATGATTTTTGTGTTTGCTAAACCTAAAATTTGCTCATTTTTTTAGGGTATATGAGTTCTTGGAACAAAAAACTTTGTTACGTTAGGTTATCATAATTATTTTCATTCAATTTTATGACTAATATAATTCAAAAAGATTAATTATTTGATCTGAAGTTCAAAATCGATCAAATCGACTCACTATTTTACTCTATTTGGATTCGAAGTAACGTGACATCCAAAATTTTCAAATCATGCACATGCCTTTGACCAAGGGCGGAGCTACTAATAAGGGCTCATGGATTCCTCCTTCGATGGAAATTATATTGCTTATACATGGTTAAAATTATATTTTATGTATATGTAATAAATATTGACCCCCTTCGACTTTTTAGTGGGTATATTTTTCATATTTTGAACCCATTTAATGAAAATCGTGATTCTGCTTCTATCTTTACGCCCCATTCCTTTGATTGTTAATTTTTTTTGTTTTGGACTATATGAACAACATCACAATAATGTGTTTTAAAGCAAAAGAAGTATGATGCTGGTATTGATATTTTAGTTTGCCTAATTAATTTTATTAACTTTTGTTATATTTTCATGATATTCTTGCGTATTTCATGGTTTGATTGTTTGAATTATATCAAGATATAATTATTTAGCAAAAAAATAAATAAAGCAAAAATGTAAAAGTGGTTTATATGTCACATGAATATGAATATGATTCGAGAATACTCTTATATTTCATCAGACAAATGTCCACGAAGCCTTAGACAGTCGTAACAAAAGCACCTTAAAACCAAAAGCAGTTGTAGCTTTGCAAGTTACAACATCAGTTCATTGGAACCCAATACCTTCAACGCGAAACATAAATTTATGCGTAGAAATTTACTCAAAATGCAACAAATAATATACATGAACCCATAGTTTTAGAAACACGACAAGTCCAATCCTTAGAACCTTATAGATTGAACTCAACAAAAACAACATATACCCAATGTCGTTCCACAAAGTGGGATCTGGGAAGGGTCAAGTGTATATAGGACCTTACTCCTAACTCAGAGGTAGAGAGGTTGTTTTCCATAGACAACTTTATAGATTGAACTCATAGAGTTTAAATCTTGGATCCGCCTTTAATTAAAACGAACTACTCAATGAATCATCTCTTTATAAAGTAGTTTGCTTTTGTTTGGAGCTGCCCCTTTATGTTTGAGAGGGATCTTCCTACTTTCACATTCTTCATGAGTACTATTGGATGATGAAGGACTCCACCTTTTTGATGAACATGTTCTGTCTGTTGAAAATGAAGAAGAAGTTGTTACTGTTCCAAGAATTTTATCATCTTCATTATTGCTTTTGGTGTTGAAGTCTATAGAAGTATCAGCATTTCCTTCCATTATATCACTCAAAATCTTAACCACCTGATTTAACAAGATATGTATCAACAATCAATAAGCTAAGAATAACAACAATAACAAACTTATGATGAGTCGAAGGGCGCACTTCTATACTGAAATTCAATGTCGCGGTTATAAGATCATACAAATGAAGATTATAATGATGGATACTAGTCATTTTAGTTCGACATTACAAGCAAAACTTACCCATTCCATGGTATTCCTCTTATCAGGATCCTTTTCGAGACATTTTGCTGCTAACTCAACCATCCAAAATAGCTGATGGAAATCATGGGAATCGACAATACTTTTATCAATTAGACGCGGATAATTCTTTTGCTCCAGAAGAGGTATTGCCTGCACTTGAAAGGTACAAGTTATCATTAGCCATTAATGTTATTTCATAACTAGTCGTTTCATAGAACAAAATAAGCATATTGTGTTATATGGTGAAATGATGTTTTCAATTTTTACCCATTCAACAAGACTTTTATCTTCAAGACAGTTGTCTGTGTTCTTGAGTCCAGTGATAAGCTGCAGCAGAACAACTCCAAAAGCATAAACATCTGTTTTAGTCGAGAACTTTCCACTTGCTGCATATTCTGGTGCCATATATCCAAAAGTACCAACCACGTTGTTACCAGAAGAATGTTGTGATTCATCATACGCCGCTTTTGCAAGTCCAAAATCTCCTAACTAAGTCATCGATGTTGCATATAGTTAGACAACTATAAAACAAATGTCTAACTTAAAACACCTATGGAAGATAAATGTCAATTGTCATTATAAGATCATATCCATTTTTATATCCACATTGGGACCAGTACATTTCACCTTAATTTGCTTGAACCAAACTAAAAGAGGGCAGCTCGGTGCGCAACATACCAGTGATTCATGATCATGTGTGATGAGGATGTTGTTAGGTCTAATATCTCTATGAATGATGTTGTGTTTATGAAGATATTCTAAGCCTCTGGCAGCACCCAGAGCTATTTTTAGCCTCTTTTCCCAACTGAGAGACATTCTTATATCCCCTGCACAAGAATAACACAATTATGAGCGAGGATATATACACGCCCAATTTAATCCATTCTAGTTTAATTTAGGCTGCATATGTATTCCTTCCGTTTTAACCGATCCAAATATAGTCCAATCTGCCCATTCTAAAACTAAATAAACTTACCTGATAAGAATTTGTCTAGAGAACCATAGCAAACATACTCATAGACAAGCAACTTTTGGCTACCTTCAGAGCAAGACCCTAACAACATGACCAAATTTGGATGCCTAGCTTTGCTTAGAACCTCAACTTCGGACTTGAATTCTTTATCTCCTTGAAGGCTCATATCATTATGCTGCTTCACAGCAACTCTTAGTCCATTCAAATACCCTTTATAAACAGAACCAAATCCGCCTTCTGATAGAAAATTCTCATTGGAAAATCCTTTTGTTGCTTCTTCAAGCTCCTTATAACTGAAGTCCTTATGCAATCTCATTTTCGGCCTTCTGTTCCCACAAAAGGAACATTCAGATTTCTCGGATATTACGCCATACAAATATTGATCATCGAATATCTCCTCTCTTTCATTGTCCTTGATATGTTCATGCTTTTGGTTTTGGTCATCGGAGAAGTGGGAAGGTGAGTTTCCCGGTATACTGCTTGCCTGTTCTTTGCATGAGGTTCTCGTACGAGAAACAGCTTTCGAGTCTACAATTCATCATAAAAAATAAATGACAACAGAGCACCATCAAAGATGAAACAAAAGCATCAAACTAAGGTGCATGAAAAATTGGTCTTTATGTGAACCAAAAACTCCTATATATCTACATTTCAAGGAATGATATATATGCATTGTTTACTTTGCTGCGAAGAAGGACGTTCTTCTGATGAATCATCCTCTCCCGGTATCATTTCATCATACGAAAATGTATTTCGAGTAAGGGAGACCTTAGTGTTCTCCATTAATTTTAACGGTCCTCTCACGTCTTCTATGGAGTTGTCACTTTTCAATTTTGATATTCCACATGATAGCTTCTCCATAAAGTACTTCTTCTCCTTTTTCATTTCCCTATATACACAAAGAACCAAGTTATAACCACCAAAAAAGCCCCAAAGCAATAACATTTTGTATTACAAATTTCACCTTCTCTAGCTTGTGTCCAGGATTCAACAATATTTTCCTAAGTCAAGTATGGAAGTATGGATCAATACAAAATATTTGACACATTTTCACATCTTTCATATATTTTTTCAAAATCCAAGATCATTTAATCAGGAGCGGACCCACCCTTAGCCAAGGAGCGACACCCCTTCGTCGGAAAATTATATTGTATATAAAGGTCAAATTTTGGTTTAATAAATATATATACAAGTATTGACATTTCTTGACAAAAGTTAAATGTTTAGTCTAGTGGTTAAGACGTGTTTGGAGACCTCGACTAATTCCACCAATACCTGCCACCTCCCACCAGCAATAGACACCAGGTAATTTTGTACCCAAGGTTAGAACAAATGGGACTAATCACCTAGTGTTTTTGTCGATTAAGAGACGAGCCAAGTAGAAATTAGACCAATAGGGCACTGCTCTCCGCCTATCCTAACAACAATAAAAGTACATACCCGAATTTCATTACCTATTCTACTAACACTAAATATAACAAAAAACAGGGGGTCCCATATAACAGATGAACAAAAAGTAATTAAAATAGATAATGAAATGAATATGTGAAATTTAGTAACTAACCTATCTAGAATGATCCAAGTGGGTTCCAACCTTTTGATTGCTATAACAGCAACCACCTTTCGTGAATTTCCAGCTTGAACTTGTATGTGAAATTTGACCTGCAACACCATGAAGATTCACAATTCGAAATATGAATTCCATTATTTAAGATTCCAAATGCCTCTTTTTTTTTTTTTTTTTTAATGACAAGGAAAATCCGCACAAATCATACATGAGAGTAACCCATCGCATTAGACAAATCTGGTGCGACTAGAACTTAACTTGGTTAATTATTGACATTTGACTAGCTTATTTATTAGTTTAGTCAATCAATATTATGTTGATATCTAGTTTAAATTAATTTATGGAATCTTTTTATCAAAATAATGTAAAGATTTTTTTTATTTGATGTGTTATATAGTTATAATAAAGTAAAATAATAATTTTATTAGATACAAAAGATTATAAAAAAAAAACAATTAAAATTTAATAAAATTGGACATTGACTTGCATTTTAATTTATTTTAGACGGATCAACAATTCATTTATTTATTAAGTCATATTATTCTGATTAGAGGCGGACCCAAGTGGTGGATTAGGGTGTATGTCTACTCCTTAATTTAATTTTTTTTTTTGATATGTGTACTTTAAAGAATTATCATATATTTTATAAAGGATCCTTCAGAAATATCTTATGGATTGAGTTATTTGATCTGGGTATCCTTTAAGCTCTTGAGCACCAGCATGTGATTTGAGATAGAATCTTGATCGTTATATCATTTTTGTTTTTAGCTAATATAGTTTTTTAAAAATAAATCATAAACGTTGTAATGACTAATTTAATATGCGTAATCATCTTATTTAAAAGCTTAAACTATTAAAATAAATATTAAATATATACTCGATTACATTCTCAACAAGTTTATTAAGTATTTCACTAAATTTATGTGACCAAAATGTGAAAGTTGGAGTTTAGGGAATAACCTTGTGAACTTCACATTGTTTCAACAGAACTAACATCTCCAAACTCTTATTATACTCCTCCATCCTTTTAACTAGCTCTTCTTCCACTAGCTTTTGGTCTACTTTATTTCTTTGTCCCACTACAAAAATATAAACAAGTTGAAGAAATAAATATTGACATATATATTCTATCATTTTTTGGTATATTAATAAAAGAAAAAAGAACCCATAAATTATTTTGTATTTCTATAAAATGCACGCTCGAAAAGGAAAATTGAGAGCAACAATTAAGCTGTCTTCGAGTCACCTATAGGTCAAAACATGGAGAACATGGGTCCAAGCTTGCAATTATGCAGATCCTTTTTTGAACGTTGTGTGAATGCATGATACTTTGCATACTGAACTATTTATAAATAAAATTAAATGCACATATATAAGTAAAATTCGTATAAAAGACTTACAAAGTTTTACTGTGCTCAAAAAAGCTGATGTAGTAGTTGAGTTATTAAATTGGTGAACAACTCCAAGTAATATAAGCTCATCTCCGGCCTCAAGACTAAAATTACGAACAACCCCTCTAATAGCAGTCCAATTTACCTCCTTTGATGTATCATGTACCACCACCACCACTCTCTTGCTTCCCATTGTAAATTTAACCTTCCTTTAATTATTTATATACATTTATTTTTGATAGAATATAGGAGAAAGGCCGAGAAATGAATAGTTTTTTCTTCGATGAATGTCTTTTAAAGATCAACAAAGATGTATGGTACGTTCAAGTTAAAATTATACTCGTAAATGTAATATAATAAATTTACCTGACATACTGTGGGATCAACCAGTCAAACAAAAATGAAAGTTAGATGTAAACCTAATGGAAGAGGAAAGGGATGTATATATAGGAAGGTTACATATTGTTAATTCCTATGCTAATTAAGCTGTCCTAAAGAAAACACTAATATACCAGCTGATGTAATTATTGTGACCATTAATTACAAGGTATCTAATTTGTTGCAAAGTGAATTGTTTATTTTCAGGAAAAGATTCATCTATTAAACATATGAGTAATATTTTTATATACTGCATCTAGTTTTGCAATACAATATATTTTGATCGAATCTTCATTTGTAGAATCTTAAGTTTTTTTGTTTTGTTTGTCATGATGTTGACAAAATATTTTCCTTTATTTAGTGTGAAATAATTTTTGGGGTGTAATGAATTTTTGTTTTGTAATAATAATATATTTTTGGAAATTTGTATGAAATAACAAACTATTAATTCAAATTAAATGTTATAGCCATAATTTATTTTATTTGTAATTTGCAGCAAACATCCCATTTTTTCGCCATATGGTTCGGTATACAATTAGTCATTCGGTATACAAATGTATAAAATGCGTTTGTGTTTGTATAAAGCGAGTATATATTTGTATATACAAATACACATACATATATACAAATACAAGTATACAAATACACATACATATATTTTCGTCATATACACTTATAATTATACAAATTACAATGTATAAATGAATTTATACAAAACTGAACAATTTGTATAAAATTGATTGTATCTAGCGAATTATACAAATCAAAAGCTCCATAGCAAACATAAAATTTGTTATGGAACGCAAACTATAGGTATAACATACAAATATAATTTTTATGTTTGCTATGTGAAAGTTACTCTATTTTTTCCTTAATTAAGATGATCGAAAAATAGTACTTAATTTATTTAATGAATGCATTAAACATCATAAGGAGAAGAGTGACGTATCTAATCTCCAGATTCCCAGTATGGACCTCTTGAAGTTGACAGATTTAAAATATCAAACGCAGGCAGATTCCTTTTGTTGTCGATTAATTGTTTGGAGTTTGCAATGATTCACGAATGAGCGAGTTTAGCTAGATTTAGACGAATGAAAAATGAGAAAAACATCAACCCGACTAAATGTTACAGGAGTTTAAATAGACGAACAATAAATCATAGCCCATCTAATTAACCCCCTATTGTTTCAGTTGAACTTTTAAATAGATGTTACATAGTGTTCCTAATCATATTTCGTACATACATCTGTGGAATATTTTTTCACATATCAATCAACATAAATATTCAAACTGATAATCCAACATGTATGGTGTAGGCCGAGTCCACACACAAGGGTAGCTAGCTTCAAAGCAGTTACCAAGCACGCCCAGATTTATCGAGGACCCTAATGCAGGATAAAAGAAACTCGACTCAAAGGGGGGAGGGGGAATGAAAAGAAGAAACAGAAACTAAATTTAGAGGCCAACAATCAAAATAAATTAAAGATAAATAACTTTAGGTATCATCGGTATTTCCCATCAAATATTAATGTATTCCAGTATAGTAACTTCACAATGCCGTACTGAATAGTAGATATGTAAATACTACTGCTTAATGACAAAAATGGTACTGAAAATGGACTGGGGTGTGTTGTCACAATGCATTTCAAGAGTGAGCTTGTTGCGGCTGCCTGAACAATAAAAAGATGGAAATAAAAAAAAAAACTAGACTCAGCAGTTTCAAGCACCACTAACCTCACACTGCACTTTTCTTGTTCCTGAAATTCTCTTTGAGTAATGCAAACTTTTTTTTACACTGGTTCATGGTCTTCCCAGGGACAGCAGTTGCAACTCGTTCCCACCGCTGGCTGGTTTCCTTGGGGAAGGTTTTCAGAGCTTGAACTAAAGCTTTTTCTTGAACAGCAGACCATATGTCTGAATCAGAACTCGAAGAAACTCCGTTTGCTGCAGGTGCGTCATCAGTGTTCTGGCTGTTTGTGTTTTGACTAGGGGTCTCCTGAGAATCAGCTACTTTGGCACTTCCACTTTCAGGCTTGCTACTATTTTCTACTCCCTCTACTTCTTCCCTCGTGGAAAGAGGAGAAACAATAGTTGGTGCTGGCTTTCTTTTCTCAAGGAAGGAGTCAAAGGCTTTAGCAGAGTCGGGTTTCTGGAGCAGAACTGTTTTTGTAGCCTTCAGGATCTCTTCAACTGTCCTTGCGGTACCAATATAATCAGAAATAACTTCCCATCTTCGAGAAGTTCCTTTAGGATATTTCAGCATCCCCTTCCTCAAAAGATCAATTTCTTCTTTGCTCCAAGGTTTCTCCTTTTTCTCACTGCTCATCAGAGGAACTTGTTTTTTACTCTCCAGAGAACCATTTTGCTGCGACTTAATCTTTTCATCTTTATTCTCATATTTTGGGTTGTGTTCATGTCCAAGTGCTCCCCTGAGAAGTTCAGAGATAACAAGCTCACCCTTTCCATCGGCTTTATCACATAAGTTCCTCAGTTGCTCAATGTCAAGTGACATGCATAGACCTTCTACATCGTCATCAGTTAGCCCAAGCAAACGCTGAGACAAAACAGGAGCAGCAAGGGTTCTTAAACGACTACGCTCTTTTCGCAATAATTTCTTTTCTTTCTCCTTCAACTTCTTCTGCTGCAAAGCAACTTCAGCAGCTTTTTTCCCCTCCTCCTCTTTCTTACGCTTTTCCTCTTCAACAATCCTAATTGCTTCTTCCTCCTGTAATTTCTTTGCAAGTAGTTTAGCTTCCTTCTTTCTCTGCTTCTCTGCTTTCTCCGCCTCCTTTCTTCCCAAGATTCTAGGGTCTTTTCTGTAGGCATTGTCAACAAGTGTACGCACCCTGGCGGTTTCTTCCTTTCTGGCCTTCTCTGAAAGTTTCGCATTCTGCCTTTCCATCCACCTCTTGTGATCACGAGATTCAGCTTGTTCAAGATCAAACTCATCAGTATGTGGGAACTCTCTCCAACTTTTGAAGCTGTACCAGAAATTATAAAAGCTATCCACTTCTTTAATTGGAGTATTCTCATCACCTAATGAAGGGATGGGTTGGGTGACGGACCAACGACCATTCCTTAAAAATGCAGGTCCAAAGACCTTAAAAAAATCTTGTGGAGCACATTCAGTTGGGATTTCATCATCAAATTCATCAGTGGAGTCATAAATCCTTCTTCTAACAGGGTCCATAAGAACCTCATATGCTTCCTGAATAGCTTTGAAGTGGTTTTCTATTTCCTCCTTCTTGGCTTGTTTTGCAGCTTCAGTTTCCTCAGCTAGAAGAAGTGAAGCCAGCTTGTCAGGATGATGCCTCAATGCAGCATCACGATAGCTCTTCCTTATCTGATCCTCAGAAGCAAGATACCTTAGATTGCTCAACCCTAACAATGCATAATGATCTTGTACCTTTTCGCCGGTAGAAGACTTCTTTTTCCCCTTAGAGCTGTATGACTCTGATGAATAGGCAAATGTCTGTTCCTTGTCATTAGGAACATCTTCTTTGCCATCTTTGGGGTCTTCTTTCTCAACATGCCCAATCAGTCTAAGAGCAGCAGAGTGAAAAGCAAGTCCAGCAGGCTCATATTTGTGAGCTTTAATAGGACAGCAGTTAGAGGAAATAAAGATTGGTTCACCATTTATAATCTCTTCCGAGTATGAAATAAGACGGATGCTACTCCTGGAAGCCATAGAGAAAACTTAGCCCTCAACTATAGAAGATGAATAAGAACGCATCCACCAACAGCTACACTTGGGGCAAGAGACGATAAAAGCAGCCTTATACACTCTCCAAGCCTGCAATAATGAGGAAAATTTAATTACAGCACATCAAACAAAAGTCAAAGACGACACAGAGGCCGGATAATATTGTTACACATCATCATAAAATCAATGCATATGTTACTGCATGTAGCAGCTTGAAAGTCTCACGACTCTTCTAGGCTATACCAGCTATTTGGGATTCAGGCTTAGTTAGGTTGTTACAACATTAGATTCAGGAGTTCCTTTACTCTTTGCTTAAGCTTGCATGTGTCATCAGTTGTGACGTTAACAAAGGGTTAACCCCTCCAACCTTTTAGCTCGTGGCTTCTGTATACACACAAGTTATATACCAGTGTGGATAGGTACTGAAGAGTGTAGGCTGTCTGTGTAAGCATAAGTCTAAGATTATAGAGTCTCTAGATATAAGAAACTCCTAATTTGTCTAATAGTATTGGAATGAAGTGAATCAAAACATAACAGAAGGACACAAGATTAGTATAGGAAACCAAAACAAGTTTGGGAGACAATAGCTGATTGATATATTACTTGCAAGTGTTAAGGCACGAAAATGCCAAAAGTAGATCAGATGAGTACAACAGCTCCAGAGGGTAAAAAGCTGGAACAAAGAAATAGAGGAGGGCTATGATGCTTTTGATATGTAGATTCTAGATATTCATCACAGTTTGCAAGCAGCAAGAAAATAAAATGATAATTTGAACACTTTCAATTAACAGGCAATCTGGGTAATCAAACACTTGTTTGAACAAATTCATGACTGCCAAAATCATATTAGACAAAATAGGCTTGAAAACCTGAGTTGAATAGGTTCAACTATTAGTAAATTAGTACCGGAACCAAATTGCATTAAAAAAAAATAAAACTCACAATTAACAACAAGGTAAAGATGAAACCACCCATCTCCTTCCATGGGACAATGCAGTTGACAAAGCTATTGAATTCTACTGTGCAGCAATTTTCCAATGGAATTTTTCTCATTGGAACAAACTTTATAGCATTTGTCAAGCTACGATTAAGAGAATTTATCATAACCAAATCATAATACTTAACATGTACTTGTTTCATATCCTCGGATACATACACAGCCACTACGAACATTCCATACCAATGAAATCACTTATAACTATGGAAACATACACAGTACCTCTGTGCATTCATTCTACTTACTAAATATACAAAATTATACTCGTTTTGCTTTTCAATGATAAGTTTAAACAATATGTCTTAAAGAGGACATGCACCAATCAAATTCTTGAAAATCAAGTTTATAAACTCAAGACCTCATGAGTTACTATGGGTAACCTTTTCTCCAAAGTCATTGTGAAAAAAAAAGTTTTCTTTTTCAAATATTGAGAAGCCAAAAACTGATTACTACTTGGGGCAAAGGGGAACCATACTCAGCAGCTTACATTCATCACGCAATCATTTGTTAAACAATCAAAAAACAAAAGCTAGCTCAATATCATTCCCATAAAATTTAGCAGCAAAAGATTACTCTTTTCTATATCAAAACCCCAAAAATAAAATAAAATAAAATTGTAAGACCAGAGCAAATAGATACTGTGGCTGTCCCCAAGAAATTTTTTATAAGCAATTATAACAGAGAAAACACAGAAAGTTTAAGGGAAGAAGTAAAAAAAGGAGAACCAAAAACCAGCATAACCCTGGTACAAAGAAACCACTGAATTAATTCTGGAGAAGCTGTGTATTGAGTTAAATATATCACACCATTCTTTGTACACCACCCCTCACACATACACATATATTAAACATTCATTCTTTTTTCATAAGACGACCACTAAATAGGAGAAGAAAACACAGCCGAATATGCACAAATAAGAACTACCATCAAACAGAAGCAAAATACGTATTGTGAAAAAAAGGTAAAACAAAAAACAAAACTAACGTCAAATAGATTCTACAAAAGCTATATTGAGCACAACGCATTACACAGTTTTTCTTAGTAACAGATAAAAATTAGCCGAAAACTTTTTTAAAAAAAAAACGCAAAAGGGACAGAAATTACCTTTTCCGATAATCTAATTGTGTTACTGATTATGGAGAATGATCTAAAAAATACGGGCTAAGTTATGTGGTTATGAAAAGAGAGCGGCGGGACGACGGGTGAAGGAGAAGGAGGAGCTAGGGTTTAGTCTGCGGAACTCAGCTACCTCAATCAGCTAAAGAGGAAGAAGCATGTGATGATTGTAGAGATTTATACCTAATTGTGCCAAATCGAATACTCTTAATGGGCCGGGCTACTCACTTACCTACACATTTGGAACGTGGGCCTCAAAATGGGCCTTCGTGTCCATTAACATTTGCACTTATACCCTTCTTTTTGTGTTGTTCATTTACTTATACCCATTATGTAACAAAAAAAACAAATTCAAAATATATCATAATATTCCTCTATGACTTCAATTTGAAAAATAACTTATGCCCCACTAGCATAAGATCGGTTGTTAAAGAACAAAAATTAAATCTCAAACCACTTTAAAGATAAAAATTAAAGATCAACTCTTTTCAAGGGAAATCGTGCAATTTTATGTTTTTATTTGGCTATGTTTTGTAAAATAGTCACTTAAAATCAAACAAATAGTCGCTCAAACTTGAAAGTTGAAACGCTTGGTAAAATAGACACTCAAACTTAGTCAGCTACCGCGGGGATTTCTAGGTTATAAAATAAAAAAGTGAAAATGCAAGATGAACTTAACCTAATTTCATACAGTAATTGGTACATGGAGTGCTGGTGGGAGCAACAAACACACTTCCTACTTATTACTAGTGGAAAAGGAAAGGGTTAGAGACCATTACAAAGACTCAAGTCACAAAGACAACTAAGAAATAGACAGACACTAATATGTCAATAAATCACAAGGGGTGGCAGGGGGATTTATGCCCTTTATGTCAAGGCCTACAGGAAACTGGAACCAATACATAGCATATGCTAAATAGGCCATATGTTTGTTATTTCATCTGCCTACTCTTCTTCATCATAATCTTCTTCCTCTTCTGCTACACTTGTATTCAGTTGCGACATATGAGCAGGGTCGATGACCATTCTGTCCATTTCGAGGGACCACTGAGGGCCTTCCTCTGCTTTCTCGTTCACAGGCCTTGGCGATGGATTGCAGGGTGCTATTTCCGGTGCAGCTGGTTTATCAGTACTATCATCTACATCGACCTTCAGATTAGGAGTTGTTACAACTGAGTTTTCCTTGTCACCAACAGTGGAATCCTGTTTAGGTGATTCTTTTGGTTCTGAGCAGTTCTCTGTCTGAGTTCCAGGATTTGGATTTTGTTGACCACTCTGCTGAGCAGAAGTGCAGGATTCAAGTTGCATATCAGGTCGTGCGAGCTCCTTATCAGCACGGCTTACCCGACCACGGCCTCTTCCTCTACCCCTACCTCTTCCCCTACCACTACTGCTAACAGGAGACATCTCCTGCAGGAAATGAAGGCATTCATGTCATGGATTGATAAAAGAAAATATGAAGTAATCACTGTGACTCTCATGACAACAACAAATGATTTTGTTATCCCATTATATAAAAACACCTGACATTTGAAATACAATGTTGCTGTATCACACTACATCTTCCTCCGAATTTAATTATGCCATATGTATAAAGCCTAACTAACTGAGAGAAACAATAACACCGTGCCTTAACGCCAAGGTAGTTAGGTCACCAATATGAATCCTTATTTTCCATTTTGCTCCATTTAGATCAACTTCATTCCAATATTCCATAATTTGGGGTTATATTACACTAAGATATTTACATTTTCTATCGACAAATAAATCTCTAAACAGAGAAAACCAAAGATAATGAGTGCAACCTTAATTTAAGCTACATCACTCTCTTACTTGGAGAAAACTCAACTGCACTGAGTGAAATAGTTGGTGCAACTCTTAACAAAAATCTCGATTCCTATAATGGAACTCATAAGTGATGATCATTAGAACATCATATAACCGTTGATTTCCATCCCTCTAAGAATTTTGTGTAAATGGCCAACTTAGAATGGATTAAGCTTCCATAGTAATGATGTCTTGCAGAACCACAACTGTTGTCTCCAACTTTCACATCGGGGAAGGAGAGCCAAGTAACTATTCCAGTTGAATGATGAAAAGAGGGACAAGTAACTATTGCAGATTGAGTTATTTAGGGAGGTAAGGTATTTATTAATTGGTGCTAAAGACTTGCAGCAAAGTGTAATGAATTAGAACTATGAATATACTCTCATACCAAGATTGGTGTAGTACACTACTACCAAAAAGAGAAAAATATAGTTTTCACCAAATTGATGTAGCACCAAAATGAGAGAAGAGAGAAAGTAAAGGGAAAAGAGAAAAAGAGGGAGAAAGAAAGAAAGACAGAGGAAAAGGAGGAGGAAGAGGAGCTGGTAGGAGAGAAGTACTAAAAACCGAGGTAAGCATAAAAGAAGCGACATAGAGAGATAGATCAACTCATATAGTGTTATCCCTTAATTCTCATTTTCCTAAGCCTTTGTGACAGAGTTACAGGGTAGTTAAGAAGATGCAAGTATCAGGTGGAGTAATTGAGGTGTGCACAAACTATCCCATGACACCACCATTATAAAAATAAAACGGCATCCATTGAATGTTGTCCGAAGTAAAGTAATCAAGGGTCCTGGAGTTAGGGATGGCAATAGGGCGGGGCGGTTGCGGGGTGAATTTTAGTCTTTAACTCTTTATGGGGCAGTGCAGGTTAGAACTTTTGCGGGGCGGGACGGGTACACGGGTTTGGGGTATTTTCTTTTGAACACCTATACAGAAATAGAGATTAGAACATTGTTCATCAACTAAATATCCAAAAGGCTTTGTCCAAGGTTATTGTCATGAAGAAGGCAGTTCTTTCATTTACTTAAGCATTTTAACACTAATAATTTTTTAATTTCTCCACATCATGACTTTCTTTAATTTCTACATTTGGTATGGATAAAAGAAAAGGTAGAAATAAAGAAAGAAGATAAGAATAAAAAATGGAACTGGGGAATAAGCTATGTTTTGATTCTTTCTTGCTGGAACATTTTCATTTTGTTGACTCATCTCTGCACAGATATTGTTTGCAGCGAATGACTGTTGAGGTTCTGTGGGGGCAGGTATATATGGAGCGCGTTAATGCGGGGCGGGCCAAAGTCTTTGCGGGTTTGTCCCGCACCCACACTGCACCTCCCCATTGCCATCCCCCTACCTGGAGTTCTGAACAAATTAGAACTCATGAAACCATTATAGCTTTTTATGTCTAAACCAAAAAAGATATGACTACTTCATTAAAAAAAAAAAAAAGACAAATTCATTCAACGAAAAAAAGAGATACAAGACTACATCATAAAAAAAAGAAGAAGATATAAGACTATTTGATAAAGATTAAAAGAATCAAAGATATAGATAGTGCCCTCTTTGCATGAGTTAAATCAGTTTATCCTGTGAAAACTTCATCTCTCGAAAATGAGATCATCAGCAATTACTTGTTTATACTAATACTACATTCAGAGCACCTTTTATTCTTGAAGAACAAATGCTTTTTTATAAGCAATAACTAAATGCTTTATTACTGTTATAAGTAAGTGTTTTCACTTTTCAGTCTGAGAAATTAAGAGGAATCTAAACTACAAGTATCAACAAAGGGTATCTCACCGTCCTGCTCTTTTTGTATTCATCCTCACTGTCATGATGTTCTTCTATAGCAACTTTCCTGATAAAACAGTATATGATATTTTGCGTAGTTTGTCACCTTAAAAGTGTAAGAGGAATAATCAACTGAATTGAAGAAAAACTACTAACTTTAGACAAACAAGAAAATGATCCTAACCTTCTTTTTGGCATTTCACCAGCAGCATCAGAATGGCCATAATCAGGAACCTTGCTGACAACTTCCCGAAGAAAGTCAAACACGTTGTAGCTTTGTACACAGTGCTTTCTACAAACAATCAATATGCATATATTAGGTTAAATGAACCAACAAGCCCGTCATTTCCAAATATATATATATATATATATATTAAAGCTAGGCATAGACAAGGTCATGCCACACCTCTCTATGGCCAACAATTGTATCATTCTTTTTTTCCTAATTTTGGCCTTTTTCCTATTTTTCCATTTATGTGCTATTTAAAAAAACTTAAAAGTCACCACCATTCTAACATAAATGCTAACCCTTCCTTTTACTCTCTTAAGAACACAATCCTTTCTTCCTATTCAAACTAAACTAATTCACACAAAAAATTTGACACTATTTTAAAACAGATTGGATGTGAATTAGTGGATTATCAACGAAACTAGGCAATTACTGTCATGAATTCATTCTCTTGCTAATTTCAGTTATTGCTTGTAGTGACGGGAGGAGAGGTTGATAGAAGTTGCACAAAAATAGTGAAGCAACAAAGCACTAGAAGTACAATATCTCTCCCTTCCCCCGTCATCAACCGGACATAGTCTCTTAATTAAGTTTAGGTTCCTTCCCTGAAAGATCAAAATTTAAATGGAAAAATTGAGCACAAAATTTTGAGATGTTATGATTCAGTTTAGGTTTCTTTCTGCATACATATAAATTCCATTCTTTTGCATATGTGTATTTTCAAAACGAAGTATTGCTTTTCTCGAGTATACTTAAGATTGTGATTAAGATATGTCTTAATATGTTTCAATAATTAGCTCTAAAATTTACTTAATTTACTATATTGTGGCATGTTAGAGGTGCATTTTTAACTTTCATTTGTTTCTGTTTAGTTGTAATTTTCTATTATTACAAAAATATTAATCAATAAATTCATGCAATTTCTTATTGCTGCGAGAAGTGCAATTGAGTTCACTAGTTGACTAGTAAGTGAGAAAGGCAGCATCATCCTGCTGAACCTGCAGGTAAAGACGTGTTCTCGTAGTAGGACAAAGATGTTTCAGCACAGTGGAGAAGAAAAAAATGATACATTACCTAACACACTTAAAGATGATACGAACAATAAATGCACTGGAATCTAATTCCAGGCATAAAATTCTTTAGAGTACTATTTTAAATTTGTTAGAGAATTATGGTCTATTAGTGATATTAGAAGAGTTTCTTCTAATTTCATTTTTTATAAAAAATTCCATTGAATGAAACCTCACGCTAAGGATAAGCCTCATTTCTAGGAAGTCCGTTGAGCCTTCAATCACATCACTATTGTTGAATCCTTTGAAGTTTGAACCTAGGATTTCATTGCGACTGTTTACCCTAATCCCTATTATTTGAGGTTATGATTTACAGATAATAAACAGTATACCAACACTTCCCTCTGCAGCCTTTAGCTATTAACTAATTCTATTAACACTAGCAGCTAGTACTCTCTACGACTACAGATTTATTATAAGATCACTTGATAACTGATTTTCATCAGTAGTGTCTCGCAAGCATCAAGAAGATCAAGAACAACCCAAGCATAAGAGTGATAATATCAATACACAATTATACATAGCAAAACTTTTGTAATCCTTACATGTTCACACTCACAAATAAGGATTTTTACATCATATTAGCTGCTTATGCAATTACGTGTGGTCCCTTGAGTATCAACAAAAAGAAGAAAACTATTATGAAATAAGTTGAAGTAGAGCAACTGAATAAAGTACATTCATGGCCATTTGGGGTATCGGAAAAGACAAAGGAACTCTTGATTTGAAGTACACGGCTGAAGTGGGAGACAACTACTAACATATATCATACTGTTAGAGATTACATTTATCTCTCATAGGTTGCATAAGGGTTTCCAGACATTGTCTTAAGATTTTGGGTTGGACTCTCTGATCCATGTGACAAAATCTGAGCGTCCAACCAAAACCTTACGGTAATGGGTGGATAAAAAGAAAATCTTCAATCCACATGTAAACCCTAGAACTGGGTCACACATGCAAGAGAGTGTTGGAGAATACACTTGGTCCTCATTGGTCGTGTAAGGGTTGAAAAAGGGATTCATAATGTCCTAGGCCACTTCACCTATTGCCTTAAGGTTTTGGGTTGGTAGCTCAGGTTCTTTCAAACATAAGATACCGCACCATGATAAGAGGAAGCTATGATACTCCAATAATGTTTAAAAGAAGTCATGATTTCTAGATCCATCTCAGTTGGCATGCAGTAGAAATTGGCACACTTGGAGAGAGCATGATAGAAATGCAGAACAATTCAACCACTTAGCTGGACAAGTTTCCAATGATAGAAACAGATTTAAAGAAAGAATAGCACTACAAGAGCAGATAGTTTCAGAGAAAAGAATCAAAAAGACTAAAGCGGTTTTACCAAAAGTGCCACACATGACACAACTATGAAGACTAAGGTCCTCTTATCAATCAAATGTGCTAAAATAACAATGGCACTGAGATGAAGCACCCTGCAGAAATAAATTCATCAAATGTATTACATAAGAAAACCGTGCACAGAAGACCTATACACTATCACCAGGCAAGTACATTTCCTGAAACAGGTTCAATAACTTAGCAGACAACCAAGTTAACATGTGAATATTGAAATCTAATTACATTCCTAGCAAAGCCATAGCGCCTTTGTGTTTCATCTAAGCATTATGATTACAAATATATTAGAATCCAAAGACCTGAGCCAGATAAGCACAAATTTGAAGCAACTACTCAACAGAGTCAAGTTGATTATCAGGACTATAGCAAACAAAACAACGAATTATCCCGATTAGTAATGGATCTTTATTAGCTACCAGATCTGATCTAGACATATGTATCGAGATTTCAAAATGTCACTCACAAGTGCAGTGAATTAACAGTCTTTGCTCCTCTTCTAAGAGTTATGTCATATGTCCGGTCACAAAGGTCTTGTAAAAATAACTCCAATGCTTTTGCTGCAATTAATGACAAGAGAGGAAGGGTTAGAAAAAGATAACCACTGAGTAAATTGACGCAAGACAAACATTATGGGACTTACACACTAGAACAGGCACAGCCATTGCAATCTTACCGACATCCTCATCGGCTTGCATAATTTTCTTGATCCGGGCCTAAACATTTTTCATGAAGAAAATGAGATCTCTTCAGACATTCCACATTTGATAGAATCAAAAGCTAAAAAGCAAATAATGATGGTGACGAAAACAACAATAGGGATGCCAATGATAACAAATAGAAGAGACTTGAATCTTGTTAGACGTTCTTCAATATGTTTTCCATGTTAATCCTCTAAGTTCATCCTTTTAATTCTTAATCCGAAGGAAAATACTCATTGAAACAGAAACCCTACTTGAATCAGAAAGGTAATAACACAGATCCTAGAGAGGCACCAGCATATCTGTTCATTTAACACACAGATATGAGACAGGGATCCCAGTATCCCACTTCTTGTCACAAATCCATTTGGCCAAAGACAGACTGGCATAAGGATATTCCACCCTTCTCTTTCTTTGAAAAAGTGATAAATTACCATCTTTTACTATAGTAATTCAGACCAGAATACTATACTTAATGTGTCTTCACAAAACTCCAGAAAAATAATAAGACAAATAGTTAGCTGTGGCAGTGCCATACTGCCATTTAAGAAGAGTGATTAAGAGGTCTGCACACTTAATATGATTGATTTGAGGACAACTCTAACACAGGCATCATTATGAGGCATTGCACATTGCACTAGTTGTTCTTTTCTTTGCTTAGCAATAGGCACATCCCTATGATTACTTCTTTGAGATGAGGCCTCAATGTCTACAATAGACATTTTTGAGACAAGTTAGAATAAGTTGCCTTTTAATGCTTGGCCTGGACTAGTTAGGGTTAATTGGTTTACAGTTTTAAAGAAAATATACAACTTCAAACAGTCAGCTCCAAACAGAATGCCCCATAGTTGTAGATGCTTTTGACCACCAAAGCAGCAAAAAGAATTTATATAAGCTGAAAAAGTTCCAAATGCTCCCAAAGATATTACACTGCGAAACAACAACAATTTGCAACAAAGTAGAACTTGCCTATTTGTCTTTCTGTATCCAACAATGATCCACGGTGACTAGCACAGGTGGCATACCACATCATGGTACTGCCTCACTTGAGTCATTTCATGGACCATAACAAATAAGTACAAAATCCAGTAAGAACTAGCAGCAACATATTTTTCTTTATTTGACCAATAAATGAAACCAATAACTTTAACCCACAACACCAAATCCTTAAATTCAGTAAGAACTAGCAGCAAAATATTTTTCTTTATTTGACCAATAAATGAAACCAATAACTTTAACCGACAACACAAAATCCTAGCTCCATTTTGCTCTTTGCCTACACTAAACTTGGCCAAGGCTGCATCCTACTTCAAACAAAAAAAATCCCATGTCCACTGCTAAAAAGACTCAAACTTTCAACTTGAATTTACAATATAATAATTCTATCGACCTAACATAAACAGCAAACCTTTTAGTTACAGATAGGAATCTATAAACATAGAATTCACTTCATCTTTCTTCAATTTCTGTTTATAACACGAGCCACAGTACAAGTGAAGTCAAAATTCAAGTTATCCATTTCCCCAATAAACTATAAAGCAACTAAAAAAAGGTAAACAACAACCCCATGAAAAAAAAAACCCGACCCACTAAGCAGCATAGCTCAGATTCTCTCAAAAATACAACAAACACTCAAGAACTGACAAAAAAAAAGGACAAATTTTTCCAAGAAGTACAACATACCCAGAACAAAATAAACCAAATTCTGTCAAACCCAGATCAGAAAACACCAGATTCATTGAAACTAACACAACCCATAAGCAGATCATGGCGAACTTATACAACAAAGTAAAGGAAACAGAAATAGTCTTTTGAGAGGAAAAAAAAGTGTAAAGTAGAGCTCACCGCAGGGAAGCGAGTATCAAGTTTCTTCCTCATGATAAATCAGATTCTGTCCATTCAGAAATTGAGAGAATCTAAGGATATTTAAATACTAAATTAGAGAATCTAGTGAACAAATTTCTTTCTGGAATTGGAAGAATCAGAAGAAGACAATCATTGCTCGAAGTGAGATAGAGAGAAAGGAGAAGATTTGGGGAAAGTGCAAAACGAAGGTATTTTTTTAGACTTCACCCATTTAGTCCTTTTATCAAACAACATTTCGATACAACTAATTTTCACTCAGATATCTTAACTATATTTTGTTCATTTTAGATATCTCATATTCAGTTCCGCTATGTCATTTTGACACTTTCTACTGACTTGACACATTGGGTGTGCTGCACCCATTTTGAGCGCGTGAGGAGTGTTTTTTTGAATTTTTTTTTTCCTTATTCATCTTCTTTCACTTTTTATCCCTACCACTTATTCCACCTTCCACCATGAAAAATCATGATGAAAAAAACCTTACAAAATATTAAAAATTAAAATAAATAAATTATCACACTAATTTTAAAAACATTTACAAGAACAAATTTTTAACAAATCATCACATTAATTTTGAAAACATTTATTAGAACAAAACACACTCTTTTTTTTCAAAAAAGAAGAAGAAGAATGTCATATTTGTCAGAACCTCACCTCACTATCGATAAAATGGTTCTCAAAATCAAATTTACAACAAAAAAAAGAAAGTATTAAAATCTAATGATTTTTTTTATATAAAAAAATGGAAGAATAACCAACAAAATTGTGGGAGGGTTGGGGAAGCAAATATGATGGAAGTAAGGTTGATGGGATGGGGGCGGGGTGATGTAAGGTTCTAATTAGTCATCATGTCATGTCATCCGCAAGTGTATTACACACACTTTGTAATTTTAGCTGATTGTCAAAAAGGATCAAAATGACATGGGGGGTCCTGCTTGAGGTGTTTAAAATGAACAAAGTCTACTTGAGGTGTCTAAGTGAAAATTTGTGTCAACTTTAAGGGGTTATCGATGGGTTCCGCCTTTAAGCTAATTATACACAAATTATTACTAATAACATTATGTAATTGTTTAGTTTGAAGACAAGTTATATTTGATTAATAAATTAGTGTATAATGATTGTTAAATAGTAATTAATAATGAAATAATTTTTATATTGTGATTAATAATGAAAGGATCATATTTTATTGTACTAAAGTTATTAAACACTTCATTTTACATTTTACAGAAGTATTATGATTTTTTATCATCAAATGCATAATTATCACATCATTTGGAGTGAAATTTTGAAAAAGTTGAGTGCATCTTTCCAAATAAGAATTGATCAATTTATGGGTATAGCATAAAGTTATAAAGATTGTACATGTGAATCAATCCCTTATAACGAAATAGACACAAGAAAAGAATAATAAATTGGATCAATCTATAAAAATGAAATGGTCCCTTCATAATCAGTCGTTCATAATATTAATGACTTTTTTGTTATAAAAAATAATTTCGAGACTTTTATGATATCAGGTGTTATTGAGTGTATTTTATTTATTTACAAAAAATAATTTAATGACTTTTGGTAATATAAAATAAAAATTGAGCGATCATATGTAAAATTGCCCATGAAGAATTATTGTTATACATAGACTATTTATTTCAAGGATACTTTTCTCTTTAGATGGACTAATCCTTGTATTGTTAATTCACAAATTCTAGGGTTATTTCACTGATGATCTCTCTGTCTCTCTATATATATAAAAGCAATTCAATACCAGTTAAAGTCATGAATTAATTTTTATACCAAAAGTCACTGAACTATGTGTTATTGCCTGAAAATAAAATTTGTGACTTTTGATGTCAGAGACAAATTGTCGCGCTGCGTTCACATTTTCATAACATACATTTTAAACATAAGCAATTGACAAAATATTCTTCTTTCTTTTGGTCAAAAAGATATACTATATTAATATTAAAAGTTAATCATACAAGAAGAAATACGGCTTAAAAGAACCACTAAGAACTGACGTTCAAATGAATCTGAATTAAAAGGACACCCTCCAAAGGGGATGTTACAAAAAACAGACATATTCAAGGAACTAGAACTACTAACTAGTAAATTAATGTCGATTTGATGAACAAAACAAACAACTTGCTTGTCAAAAAATCCTCTCAAATAACTTGATGGACAAAAATTGCCAATTGATAATTTTAAAAAAAGTGCAGAGATAGAGCTATTTGTATTTTCACACATAGCTATGTCTGCAATCACATCAGCCCCTTTGTAGGTATGTTACACTAGTGATGAGCTTCAAAAGAATGATTCGGAATTCTTGAAGAGTCCAGCATAGTTTTAATATTATGCCTTGATTATCCAATAGTGTCATCAAACGCAAGAGGAGTTAGATTTCCTTGTTGGGCTAACTGGAGCCCTTACAACAAAGCTAAGTACAAAATGCCTATAATATTCTGAAGTTTTCAAATATGTAAATTTTACGATGTACTATATTAGAACTAGTGGATGAATGAAGTTGCACATCCTACACAAACATAACAAAAAATGACATTCAAAAGGGACACATCAAGTTTTTTGTTTTTCAACAAGGAATGGTTTGAATGTCAGCAACACACCAATTGCCTCAATCACATTCAGCACAAAGAACACCACTTGATCACCTGCATTCGAGTTGAACACAAACATATATAAAGATCTGATCCGAGAGAGCATAGATGAATGCAATGTATGTGCTACGAGTTCAACTGAATTCAGTTATTTAGTCATTACCTGGAAGAATGGAAGCGTCAAGCCTTTTTTGTGCCCAAGAAAAGCTACACAGATCAAGAAAAGACGACAGTTTTAGTTGTAAAAAAGAGATTTGCGTTCCTAGTTCTAAAGAATAACAAAGTAAATGAACTCACAGTACTCCTGCCCCTGCTGGACCTATAGCTTTAAAAATTGACATTGCTGTCATAGCAATTCCATTAGCAGCTCCACGTTGTCGCTGGTCCTGAGGTTATGAATCATATAATATCAGTCCAAAAACAAGTGAAACCTAGGGCATGGATGATATAATGCTTCTGTAATCGACAATTACAAGATATATGTAGCTTTTGAAGGAGAGAGCAAAGACGAATTTACCACTGCTTTGTTTTGCAATATGAACAACCCTGTTATGATAGATATCTGGAGACAATTTGATGTCAAATGTTAGATTTTGAGATCATAAATTTCAATATTAGTATGCAGAACATAGTTCACGTATAGAAATTTTGCTTCCATATGAATGGTAAAGATACTAGTTGGTAAGAAAAATTAGAGACACCAGAAAAAACACTTACAGATAAAGCATTCTTGATCACAGATGCAAAATTTATTGCGACAGAGAGGGCGATCCCAGATAGCATGGCGATATAAGGGTAACTTGTCAGCACGGGAATGGACAAAACCTGATCATATCAGGGAATTTTAAGTTACTTCAAGATTTTCTGTAAGCTTGGATCAATAGAACGCAAGAGTTGAACGTATTTTACAAGTTTAAGTGCTTACTCCTGCAACTCGAGCAATGACGATAGGGCCAACATACTTCTCAACCAATGGATATAGAGATAGTTGAAAGACTAGAAGGCCAAATCCTGAAACATGCATCATCATGATTTTCATTATGCAACATCTTATCGATCACTATATGAAATGAAATGTATTAGCTATAGTTCTGTCTATGTAAACAAGACACCAGACAACTCAGATGCTTTAAAAATATGAAAATGAAATCTTGATCACTATGTGAGTACAAGCAAGGTTCATTTATCTACAAAAGAATGTAAGTTACTAGAAAATTCGCTTGTACCTGAGATCGATAGTACTTCACCAACATCAACAGTTGAATAACTTAAGCCTCCAAACTTTCTGGGGCTCACAGTCCATAATGAGAAGATCTGCAGAAGCAAACAGGATACAGGATGATGTAATGGATTAGTTATACGATGTCCCTGGTGCCACAAGAATGAAAGAACAAGCATGATCTACGTTTTAATGATATGGTATACCTCTGTATAAGCCATATCATGAAGAGAAAAGACACAGTATAAGATGATCGATGACATCAATGGCCAGTTCTTAAAAAGGTTTTCTTTTGGGACTGATTCATTTCTGTCTTTTGTATCAGATGCAGCCTCCTCCAGAGCCTCATATGAACTTTGAGGCGGCATTCTTGAATCATGATTGTGTAATGTTTCCTGCAAAATCCATGAGCTTTAAATACGAATACCATCCTATTACCACAAATATACTAATTGTATGACTACAAACAAGATTTGACAGAACTAATATTGATGTAATCAGGTAGATTTACCGGGAGCCAAAATGAAGCAATACCCACAGCCAAGGAAAACAGTGATATGCACAAGCAAGGCAGGAAATAGGGAAATCTGCAGAGAAGTATCATACGTTGGAGTCGAGTAGAAATTCAAGCAACATAAGAAGATACACAATTATGAAAAGAAAGAAGTCAGAATACCTCCCAAATATAGAATCCTTTGAGAATACGTCTGGATATTTCTCTGCAGGCTGAGTTCAAAGCGGACATTTAGAGCATACATGCTAATGAACTAGTACAAATAAGGACATAGCTATGCAAAGGAAAGTACCTGAGCAAGGAAGCCTCCTAAAGCTGGACCAATAATCAATCCAATACCCCAAGCAGTACTAATCTGAAACAACTCAAACAGAAAATCCATTCTATAAATGGTCATTCAGAAATGCATTCCTTTCGTTTGTTAGAAATCATTTGCATAACATATTACCGTTGACATTCCCAGTGCTTGATATTCTTCACGAAAGATTTCTGCAGCATATGCCTAAACATGGAAGGTAAGCATCTTAAAAGAATAGCTGATACAGTACTGAATTCATGTAAGATAGTATTAAGCCAATCGGATACCTTTATTGGTCCAATCAAACCATTTAAAAAACCAAGAAGAAATCGCGTAGTAATTGCCATCCAAAAGTTGACACTAAGACCAAAGAGAGTATTGAAAACAACCCTGAAGAAGCACAATTAAACCAAAAAAAGCAGTATAAACTTGTTGACATTTAAGTGAATGAAATCTAAAACAGAACATTTGCAATAAGGATTAGTCTTACACTACAAAAGTGCCGAAAACTATAACTGGTTTTCGTCCATATCGATCAGCCACTGCTCCCCAAAAAACAGATGTC